CGATCTATTGAGAGTGATGAGGTTGCTAAAAAAGTTAGAGGAACTAGAATCTCACCAAGAAACCAAAACATGATCACAATATACGAGAAGTCGTAGAACGTGTAAATTACAAAATTTGTTAGGTAGGAATGGGATAAACAATCTATAAGTTCATTGACCTATGTTTTGGGAAAACCTCGTGCATGGGACATTCATGTAATGCATAATCGGCCTTAGTGTTAGTGGGAGATTGTTGAATATAACTAAGCCCTAGAGACCAACTTATGATTCCCTATCTATAATATCAAGAACAAAAGGCCCTCAAGATTGTTTAAGTCATCTCGTGTGATTTAAGCATAGCTTTAGTCCATAGAGTAGGCCCTCTAGTAACATAGATGAGAACTACGATGTTCTGATTATGAGGCTGTTTGAGGCTACGTCTAAAATATCCTTAGTCGAATATTATGATAATAAGGACGTCATAATATATTAAGACTAATCCATATGAGATGAGATAGCTGCGTCTCATAGGCTATAAATAAAGTGTTATCTGAATCTATGCGTAGGCAAACATATTCGATATCTTGCTAGATTGACCCGCTATGAGAATAATATATGGGTATTATGCTATTGTTTTAATATTATTCTCATGCAACCATTATTAGTATAACTATCTTTCGACTTGAAGTCATTACGATCTCTGATAAGTTGAGTGACATACTTTGAATCATTGTTAATGTCATCTGAGATATTGGTGGACCTACAATTATGTTTTGGGTATGCAATGAAACTTAAGTTGAGATGTGAATGACGTAGATAGAATTTATACTTTCCTTTGTGAAGTATAATATATGAGGGTCCACTGAATGATGTGACATGGGAAGTGCATGGTAATGCTCATATAAATATATTATTTGAATCTCACAAGTCAATCAAACAATCAGTAAATCATCGATTTAGCTCTAACTAGGTGATACACCCCATACCTTGTGTTAAATCAAGATATTAGTGATAAAGGTGTTGATTTATGAATTCACTCTTGAGGAATAATTGTGTACATGGATGTTTATATAGGTGAGGATCCCTACATGGACTAGGATTCACCAAATAAGTAAACTAACATAAATAACAATTCTACTATAACTAGACTTCTTTCCAAATATGTCTAACATCCCCCCTCAAGCTGAACGCCGTGAAACGAGAGGAAGCTTGGCAACCAATGCAGTGTAGCGTGGCGAGGCAAGAGCTTTTGTGAGAAGGTCTGCCAGCTGCTCATTAGAAGGAAAATAAGAGACTGTCATTTTCTCTGCAATTACTTGTTCTCGAACAAAGTGGCAATCCGTTCCGACATGTTTCATGCGCTTATGGAAGACTGGATTCTTAGTCAGACAGATGGTGGACTGGTTGTCGCATAGAAGATGTGGAGGAGGGAGCTTGATCTGTAAAATGTCAAACAAGTAGGTGAGCCACATCACTTCAGCTGCTGCGGCCGAGAGGGCTCTGTACTCGGCCTCAGTGGACGAGCGTGAGACACGACTTTGTTTCTCCGTACTCCAAGAAAGTAAATTAGAGCCAAGATATATCAAGTAAGCTGTAATGGACCGTCCATCTGTCATATCGTTGGCCCAATCAGAATCAGAATATGCGTAGATGGTCTATGGGCCTCGCCGGAAGACCAAACCATGATCAATGGTTCCTTTGACATATCGCAGGATGCGTGTCAAGGACTGAAAATCTTGCTCCGTAGGTGCATGCATCCGTTGGCAAACATAATTCATAGCAAACTGAATGTCCGGACGCGTGTTTGTCAAGTATTGAATAGAGCCAACCAAACTCCGGAAAAAGGTGGGGTTGTCGAACGGACGGCTCACCCCCTCCTCAGGCTGCCGTACGGGTAGGGGCGTGGGGGCCGGCTTGCAATCCTCGACTCCTGCTTTATGGAGAAGTTCACGGGCATATTTTTCCTGAGATAGAATGAGATGGTCCTTTGTGCGTGTGACTTCAAGGCCAAGAAAGTAGTGAAGAGGGCCAAGATTCTTCATTTGAAATTCCTTTTGCATAGCCTCGATGAATGAAGAGATAAGAGCTGAGGCACTACCAGTGACAATAATATCATCAACATAGAGAAGGACAATGAGAATGCCAGAGGGAGAGTGCTTGACAAAGAAGCTGGTGTCATGTTCATTTTTCCCAAAGCCATAATCAACAAGGAACCCTGACAAACGCTGGTACCAAGCTCGTGGTGCCTGTTTCAGCCCATAAAGAGATTTCTTTAGTTTGCACACATAATGAGGATACTGCTGATCTACATATCCTGGAGGCTGCTTCATATAAATCTCATCAGGAATGACACCGTGAAGGAAAGCATTGGAAACATCCAATTGATGAAGGGGCCAGTTGTGATTGACCGCTAGAGAAAGAACCACCCGAATAGTCTGCTGTTTGACCACGGGGCTAAAGGTCTCAGAGTAGTCCAAACCATATTCCTGTGTGTAGCCCTTGGCCACAAGACGGGCCTTGTACCTGGAAACAGAACCATCAGAGTTATGCTTAATTTTATAAATCCACTTACATCCAATAGGAACCCGATCTGAAGGTGCCGGAACAAGCTCCCATGTTTGCTGA